CATCTCACATGAAGTTGACTTTTGTCAGTAAAAGACAATGGAGAGCCATTGCAGCAGAAAGGGCTCTTCTTCCTGGCTTCATGATGTTTTCTGTCCTCTGGCCGCCATGGCTTGGTTGCCAGTTGCAGTCTTGCAGGAAGTCACGTGTATTCGTCCTCTGGCAAGTTCTTGTAGGCAATCTGTCAGTTTCGTGTCTTCTGGTCTTTCCTCCTGATGCTCTGACAGGGAATTGTTCCTGTGTGCCAGTCACAGCCTGAGATCCTTCCTCACCACGTTCAGCCCATGAGGTGTGGAGCTGCCCTGCCCCAGGCCAATCCAGTGAGCATGTCTGCCATGAAGCTGTGTGCACCCACATCGTCCTCGATGACATCTAAATCCCATCTTCAGAGAGCAGACCTTGCTTCCCAGTGATCCCTCCTTTCATTCTAAGATATTCTTTGTAATTTTATTTAACTTAGTAGCCTCCCTCTTAGTAAGCTTTCCCTTACAAGTAGATACTAACTGTTTACTTCAACCTCCTTCCTTGTTCTGTCCTCTGACTCAATTCTGACTCATACCCTTGTCACCCTGGGGTGTTCGATCCTCATCTGAGGCCCTTAAAGTACTAGAACAAATCAGCTAATTTGGAAATCGAAATGGAATTATTCACTGTATTGAAAATATTACACACCGGGGCGCCTGGGTGGCGCAGTCGGTTAAGCGCCCGACTTCAGCCAGGTCAGGATCTCGCGGTCCCTGAGTTCGAGCCCCGCGTCAGGCTCTGGGCTGATGGCTCAGAGCCTGGAGCCTGTTTCCGATTCTGTGTCTCTCTCTCTCTTTGACCCTCCCCCGTTCATGCTCTGTCTCTCTCTGTCCCAAAAATAAATAAACGTTGAAAAAAAAAAAAAAAGAAAATATTACACACATATTATGGTTTGAAATTTATATATAATTATTTTACTAAATAGCACAATATAAGAAATAAATAATATATACTGGGCATATTTTTTTACACTAATATAATTAAATTTGAGAACAGTTCCATATCACCAAGAATGAAGCCTCAAGTACTCTTTGGACTTTGGGTGATATATATGCGTTGATGTGGATTCATCCTTGGTAAGAAATGAAACATTCTAGTGAGTGATGTTGATAATGGGAGAGGCCATGCACATGTGCAGACAGGAACAATACAGGAAATCTCAGGAGCTTCTTACTTTGTTGGGAACTAAAATTACAGTAAAAAATGTAATAATATTTTATCTTAAAAATATGCAGAATAAATAATCATAGGGGTTTTGAAATAATGAGAGATGTGTTCTTTATAAATGGTGAAATAACATTATACGAAAATGAGATAACTACAATGCCTGGTGCTTACAAATATGTGGTCTTCTTACTGAGCAGGGTGCAAGATAAGTTTTTTTTACTTGAAAATTGAAATATGGACACTTCTTGTCACTCTCTGAAGATGCTGACAACCTGCAATACAGAGAATTATACCTCATTAATCTTACCTTAAGATTACTTACATCTCTTACTATGTACCATAGTATTTTGATGAATAAACCATCCAGTTTGACTCATACTTATATATCTCAATCCCAAGATTTCCCATACCGTTTTTCTCTCGAAAAACTTCAACTATTATGTTTATCCGATTGTTCACACATTGCTGTTTTGTTTCTAAGAACAATTCTTGTGAGACATAAAATAAAAAGTTGTCAGGAAACTTACACTTCGGAAGAAAATGTTAAGGCTTTTGGCTGCACAGATGAACTATGATGGCTTCTATTGGAGCCTCTAATCCATGTAGTATCAGAGAGTAAATTCAACAAAAACTATGAGAAAATAAATTTTATTGGAAGTCAAATACAAGCTCTTACACTCGTTTGAATTCTGTAGTAACAAATAAGAGTTCTTTCCTTCTAACTTTATAGAAACTTTCAAATTATAATATAATGTTACACACTGGACACATAAGTATAAAGTTATCTTAGTAGGACTAAGTGAAAAGGACAAACTGAACGCAAAAACAATTTCAGAGTTTACAAAGTGGATCAAAGCTTAATAACTTATGAAATATGGTCCGTGGAAGTTCAAGTCAGAAACACATGTGTAATCTTATCACCTTAGATGTTCCTGTGCCTCCCCACCTGCCCACCACTGGCTCAGTGATCCAGAAGATTGTAGCTTTTACATTTGGGAGAAGCTTCAAAGAGCAACGGTGTTGGCGCTACAGGGGAAGACCTGATCAGTACTGGGGATAGGGATGGGTACCCATTGATGTTTCAGCTCCAAGTGCTGATTTTGCTCAGTAATGATGAAGAAAACCCATACCTGATCTGGTCAGAGCTTGTGGTGTTTGTGTCAAGCACTGTGACCCCCATAAATATAATGGAAAGATACTGGATGTGAGAAGATAACGAAAGAGTTGACCATTAGTTTCTAACACTCTTAGCTTATGGAAAAATAGACACACATGGAGAGGAGACCAAGAGGAACCCAGGAGAAAGTGAGAATACAGGAGACCTGAGAACTCTTAGCAACATTATGAAAAGTCCCTCTCACAATCACAGACACAGGCACAGATGTCACACTGCAGAAATGGAGTCCATACTGACTTGCAATATTTGAACATATTCTTTCTAAAAAAAATAGTAATTAACATCGAAGGTAAAAGTCACAAGGTCATAAAAATAAGCAATAAGAATTTGGAAACAATTGAACAAAACTATCAGCAGGCAGATTTAGTGGAGAAGATTCTGCCATAAATGTTTGGCCAAAAAAAAGTAGTAAATCTAGGAAAAATGACACACAATGCATGTTTCTGAATTATATTTTCAAAAAGTGTCTACCTAAAAAGTAAAAAAATATGAAGAGAAATTTAAAAATATCTTCCAACGAAAGGAAAGCATAGGTCAATAGAAACGTGTGCAGGGATAAGTTGATGCACATATTAGAACAAAAGTATTTAGAAGTCATATTTATAAATATATGAAAACTATAAAGAAAACTTAGTTGAAATAATTGCATGAACATGTGATGGCAGCAATTTAGCAAGTAGGAAATATCAATAGAGAAATAAAACTATATGAAGAAACCACAGAGAATCTCAGTGCATAAATCCATACTGGAAATGGAAAATCCACTCAAGTAGAAAAAAACTGATGATTTTGAAGGAGTAACAAAATTTATTTATACCTTAGGATGAGAGAGAAGAAAGAGAACAATTTATAGAATTCAGAGACTTTCAAAAGAGTATCAGGAAAGCCAGCTTAGTTCTAAGTAGAATATGAGAAGAACAACAGAGGCAGAAAAAAAAAAAAAAAAAAAAAAAAGAGGACAACAATCTTAAGGCACAATGAAGGAACAGCTTACTAATATCATCTAAAATATTTATAGACACCAGAGACTTAGTAAACTGCTAACACAATGAGCACGTACAAATCCACGTCTCATGACATCATAATGAAATGACCAAAGAACACTGGCAAATACAGACAAAGAAATAGTCTTGAGGGAACAGAGTGGATTGTGAAGTGACTTAAGTCAGTGTGAAAATCAGGGATGGGTGACACGTCTTCCACCTCCATCAGCCTTACGCCACATTATCTAGGACAGAATCCATATCCCTGCCCTGCACACTAGTTCCGAGTGGAACGGGATACAAGCAGCAAATTCAAGGAACAGAAAGACACAGACTCTAAATCCCCCATGGAAACAATCCCTTAAAAATATCCAGACACAAACCGAGGTATAATTGGTCTAACCAGCTTTGATAAAGGTGCCAGGACCATTCAGTAGGGAAAGAGAGCATCTTTCACAAAGGGTGTTAGGAAACTGACTTCCCTCCCACATGCAGAAGATTGAAGATGGATGTTTCCATTTACACCGTATACTAAAATTAACTCAAAGTGGACTAAAGACATAAATGTAAGGTGTAGAAGTTCCTCAGAGAAAAATTGGGGGGAAAATAAACAACACTGTATTTGGCAATGATTTCTTGGCTCTGCCACCAAAACCAGACCACAAAGAAAAGTCCATTGTAGACAAATGTGTGATATCAACCTAAACATTTCTGTGCAACAAAGGGCATGATCAACGATGAAAAGGCAGAGTGGAAAAAACACTTGCAAATCATACATCAAACAGGGAATCACATCTAAAATATAAAATTAATCTACAAGTTAGTACTAACAACAACAAACACCAAAATACAATTAAAAAATAGGGCAAAGAAATTAAAAAGGCATATTTCCAAAGACAATATAAATTGTGAAATATCATATGGAAAGATGCTAATGATCATAGAAATTCAAATCAAAATCACGAGGAGTTATCATCTCATACTCATTAGGATGGACGGTATAAAAAAAAAAAAAAGCTCAGGTGCCTGGGTGGCTTAGTTGGTTAAGTTTCCAACTCTTGGTGTTGACTCAGGTCATGTTCCACATTTGTGGGTTTGAGCCCCGCGTCAGACTCTGTGTTGACAATGCAGAGCCAGCTTCAGACGCTCTCCCTTTCCCTCCCTCTCCACCTCCCCTGCTTGCTCTCTCTCTTTCTCTGTCTCTCAAAAAATAAATAACATTTTTTTAAAAAAGGGTCAGTGAGGAGGTCGACCAGGAGGAGACTACACACTGTTGTTGGGCATGTAAATCGGTCACCGTTATGAAGAAGGGAATGGAGCTTCTTCAAGAAATTGAAAATACAATTACCACATGAGTCAGCAATCCCACATGTAAGAAACTATCTAAAAGTATTGAAAGCAAGATCTCAAAGATATATATACACCCATGCACCATTATTCATTGGAGCCACGGGGCAAAAGCCACCCAAATGTCCACTGATGGATGAATGGAGAAAGAAAGCGTGGTATACACATAACACTGTAATATTATTCAGTTGTAAATGGAAGGAAATCCTATCACCTGCCACAATATGCATGAAATTCCAGGACATTATGCTAAGTGAAATAAGCCAGTCATACAGATGAAAAAAAAAACAAAAACCCTGTTTGATTCCACTTATAGAAAGTATCCAAAGTACTAAAAGTGATAGAAACAAGTGGAATAGTGGATGCTCAGGTTGAGGGGAAAGTGTTGAAGGAGAATTATTGTGCAGTGAGTTGAGTTCCAGCTTTACAAGGGGAGAGCTCTAGATATCCTTTGCAACAATGTGATAGCACTCCTAACTTAGACTGGGTGCTTCAACTGGTTACGATGGATGATCTAGTGAAACGCAACGTAAGATGTGCGAGAGTATAGGATTCCCGCTATATGACACTCTGGAAAAAACAAAATTCTGGAGACAGTAAATTGATCAGTGGTTGACAGGGTTTAGGGTGAAAGAAGGATGGGGAAGGAAGGGGGAGCACAGAGGATTTTGAAGGACGGGAAACTGTTCTGTAGAACTCCATAATGTTTGATACATGTCACTATATACTTTTCCAAACGCATAAAATACCCAACCTCAGGAGTAAGCTTTGAAGTAAACTATGGTCTTTGGCTGATAATGATGTGTCACTACAGGTGTATCAGTTATGGCAAGTGGGTCACCCCACTGAGGGCTTTGAAAATGAGAGAGTCCATGAACTGCTCCTGCATTGACACATAGGAGGGGAATACAGCATATACCGGTGCTATGTCTGAGTTTTGCTACGAACCTAAAACTGCTCTAAGACACTAGGCTATTTTTTTTAACATGGGTAATGTGTTAAATTCTATGTTATGGGGTCATGGTATTTTCTGCAACAGCTTAAAAAATAAAATCAAAGTCAAACCCACAAAAAGAGGTGATCTTGACAAGGGCAGGAGAAAAACAACTCAGTATCTTTAGCTAAATAACAATATGATTAAAAGATGAGTTCTCACCAGAAAAATAGTGGGAAAAAAAAAGAAAGAAAGAAACCCACTACCTGTGCACGCTCACACACACACACACACACACACACACACACACACACACATAAACAAACAACCAAAACAAAGCAAAAATACCGTCAAACAGGAATTATACATTCAGAAAATAGTTTTTCAGAAAACAAGAGGCATAAAAACCCCACATCAGACACAAAAACAAACAGAATTTTTTCTTACTACACCTGCCTTTCAACAATGTTCTTCAAGCTACAAGTAAAGTGACACTAGATGGTAACGCATATCCGCAAGAAGGATTAGAGATCACCAGAAATGATAAATAGGTTGGTAAATGTTTAGATCTGCGTATGAATTTTCCTCTCTGAATTTCTTGAAAAGATAAGATATTTGCAGCCATAATTATAACACTGTATGGTGGGATCTATACTACAAACCTTATATTTTTAGCATTTGTTAATGTGTGTGGTACAAAGTCTCCACGAATGCTTCCCTTGAGGTTTCCAACGTGAAAGCACGAAAGCAGAGAAGGTAAAGAGATGCATAGTTTGTGTTCAGAAACCAGTGCGAGCTGGCTTCAGTACAGCACTGTCAGAAGTACAGATTTCCCCTCTCTCTGACAGTAGGTTGTTCCTATGAAAACTTTCCTAAGCTGAAATAGTGTATATTGAGGAAGCAAATAGCGTTACTTTACACGGAAAAATTGCTGAGCATCCCTGTCCAAAAATTCACCACCACCCCCAAAACACAAAACACAAAAAATAACTTCCCTTAGGCTTTTCTGATACCTCAAGACAAGCATGTGAATGGAGAGGTACAGAAAATAAATTGAGATGAAGCACAGACACTCAAAAATACAGTTCAAACCTACGCCTGATACTGATATACAGAGTGTACTGTTTTTTGAGAAATGAACTTGACAGGAACAGTCTTGCTCCTTGG